GGTCCGGACGGTGGGGCGTCGGAGTCGGGGGCGGTTCACACCAGCCCCTCCGGCTCTCCACTCTCTCCCTCGAGCAGATCCCAGAGGGCTCCTCTGACTTGCCACAGGGTTCCTGCCTGTCACTCAGGGAGGGGGGCCCCACTGCTCGCCCGGTGGCTGGTCCTGGCATGGCCAGGCTCGCTGTGAAAACCCCAAGATCCTCCGAGACCTGAGACAAGAGCCCAGTCCACGTGGCTGGTCACCCAGACTTGCCCCCACGCCGGTGCCTCCCTCTCTCGTGCGTGAGCTGAACTGACGCCCCAGGAGGGGCCTCTCCAGGGAGAACGTATCCATTTTTCAAATAACTACAAACGTCCTAGAAGCTTGCCGCCGAGAGCATAGGAGGGGGACAGTAGCAAACGTGCCTCCGCCCCCAACAGGAACCCAGCAGGAACCCGTGTCGTTTTTACCCCCTGCCTCCCGCGTGCATCCTCGGACTTACGCTGTGGGAGTAGGGTCACACCTTTGACCCGAGGCTTCCGTCAGTGTAGACGAGCAGGGAGGATCGAGGTGGTTCCACTGACCCCGATGCGCCTGTGCCTATGGCCAGGTGGATTCCACGCGCCACTCAGCCAGGCCTGGCCCATGAACATCGGAGCCAGGCGGCCAAGGTCAGCGGACGGCAGGCCTGTTAGCCCACAGCCAGCTCTGGCACCAGCTCTGGAAAGCGGCCAGTGCCCCTAGGGCCCGGTGTCCTCCGCTGCTCACCGACCTGGGTGTCCCTTCCTACACAGCCCCGCCTCACAGGCTCTGGTCCCTGTCACAACTTGCCCTGAGCAGCGAGGGACACTGGCCCATTGTCAGGCTAAGTGTCCTCACGCTCCTCTTCCAAAAGCGTCCAGAGGCCCGTTTGAAATGGGTTTGTCTTTGCTGCTCTCCAATCTGCAGTTTTTACTTTCCAAAGCACGTCCCCATGTGAGCTGGCCACCCCCCTCCACCCACCCCCCTACCCTTCCCTCTCCTGTGCCCCTCACATCTCCAACAGCAGCCCCCCGCCCAGCTCCATGCTGCCCCCACCCTGGTCTCTCTGGATGTTCAGATGGTCCTGGAGCTCAGGGTGGCTCTGCAACAGGCTTTGAAGCTCAACATCTTTTGGAAAGAGCAGAGCAAAAAAGAAAAACAAAATGCAGCTGGGAGAGGCCTGGCGGTTTGGGGGCCCTGAGAGTGGCCCAGCCTGGCCGCTTGTCCTGACAGTGAATGAGGAAGGACGAGGAAGCTCCGGTGCCTGAGGGGTGTGAACGGCGCCAGGAACGTGTCCTGTCCACCCCGGGACGACCCCTGCGCCGCTGGCCCCTCAGTATTTCGGAGCCTCAGCCTTCCTCCATAGAACGCAGTCTGGTGAGGGGCCAGGAAAGAGTAAGTGAGTGGGGACTTTAAGAATTTTTTCATGATCATTCTTTTTTTTACCACTTTCTTGATTTTAACCTAATTTCCAATTTCTTGATTTTAATTTATGCTCACTGAAGAAGGATTCAGAGGTGGCTTCCAGATTTTTCACCTCTCCTCCCAGGTGACAGGGGATGGGTTCGCATGCTGGGGTGGCGTGCTGCAGGCACAACCCCATCGGAACGTAGCTCTGCTTTTCCCTCCGCGCCCCGGCGGCTGCGGGGGGCGCCCCGGGTGTGTGCGTCTGCAGGTGTGCCCACGTGCGCGCCCCCTCTGAGCGGGCAGGCGGAAGCAACGCTGGGGTTGAGTCTTTGCGTGGGTCCCTTTACGCCCTCGTGGGAGATCCTGCAGGAAGGATGTTAGTAGGAAGTGGCCTGACGGCCGAGGAAACAGCGTCCTCGTGTTGTGCTTCCCACTTTCAGTGACGCTGAAGTTTTCTTGGAACGTGGGATGGCAGTGTGAACTCTAAGGCAGCGAAGGCTGGTAGAAGTGCCTGAGGGAACAGGGAGGGGCCTCAGGCCTTGGTTCCTTCTGGTCCGAAGGCACAGCAGGAGCTGGGATGGTGGCGGGAGCCGAAGAAGGCAGGTTAGGGTCACAAGATAAACACAGGACACACAGTCGATGTGCGTTTCAGATAAACAGTGAGTAGCATTTTAGTACAAGTGTGTCCCAAATGTTGCATGGGGTGAACTTATGCAAAGTATTTGCTGCTTATCTGAAATTCACATCCAGGCGGGCATCCTGTTTGCTTATGTTTGTTTGTTTGCTAAATCTGGGAACCCTGGGGAGGTCCCAAGGCCTCCTCTCACCTTGAGAAGGTGGATGGATTGGGGTGGGGGGGTTCAGGGGAACCCCGGGCTGGGGCGAGCAGCAGGGCTGGAAGGAGACCCTGCTTCACGCTGGACAGTGGGCTCGGGGAGGGCAGGGGGCCTCCGCTTTGTGCACGGCTCCCCGGCACCGAGAGGCAGCTAAAGGGAGGGAGGGGCAAGGAGGGGGATTCGAATCGTGTCCAGTAGCAGCTGCTCTGTAGATAAGGCCAGGATGTGGCTGCAGGCCCCTGGGGTGGGGCACTCGGGCTGGGGTCCCTGCCTCAGAGTGTGCCCCCTGTCTGCCCCGGGCTGCAGCCTCCACGTCCCTTCCTCTTCTGCGGGGTCTGGGCCAGGCACCAGCGCTCTCCACGCCAGTGAGTGCACAAGTCTTCCCCCCCATCAGGCGCCCCAGGGAGACAGCCGGAGACCCCTGCGAGGCTGGACGTCAGGTCTGGTGGCCATTGGCAAGAGGATGAGGTCTCCCCAGCCAGGCTGGGAGCTCCAGCCCTGTGTTCCCTCTCGAGCCTCCAAGGTTTCGTCCCTTTCTTGTCTTGTGGTCCTTTTTCCTGGATCCTGGGGCAGAGTCTCGCCTGGAGCCTGGAGGCCGAGCCGGAGACTGAACAGGGTGCAACTCTCTGGGGTCTCTGGTGGCTGCCTGCAGCCTGTGGGAGGGGAGGGCAATGAGGCGGTTCCAGGTCTGAGTCTTCTTGGGAACCGCTGGTGCAGAGGGCTTCAGACAGACCCCACTGTCCCTCCCAGGCCACTCTGGGGGGCAGCCTGTGCCCTCGACCGGCTGAAAGCCTGGTGGGAGAGGGGGTCGGCTAGGTGGCCCACAAGGTCATTGCAGAAGGAAAGACCCCAGAGACCGCTGACCGACGGGGAAGCACGCTGCCCCCGACGGCTCGGCCCCAGCCCGGGACAGACCCCTTCTGCTGCCTGGTTTGGTTGGTCTGGTTGTCTTGCCTTTGGTTGCTCTCGGGCTTGGTCCTGGGCCGGAGACCCCGAGCAGAGGACGCACATCCTCGGGGGGATCTTGCGTGTGCGGCCTTGTGGGCTTCTCTCCCGGCTCCCCGAGGTGCGGCTGAAACCCCAGAGCGGATGTGGCTTGGTCTGAGCCCCGGGGAGGTGGGAGTAAAGACCCTGCATCGCTGTTGTCGCGGTGAGGGGCGGGGACTGGGCCAGGCCAGAGCATTGCGGAGGAGGAAAGGGCCAGCCCCTAAGAGGCTCCAGAAGGTCCAGTCTTGCTCCAGCAGCAAGAGGCCGGTGTGGTCAGGGTGACCTGGCACTGCAGCCCACTGTCCAGTGGAGAGCTGTTGAGCTGACTGTGTGCCCAGAGCCCCAGGTCTTGGGAAGCAGGTGCCCAGAGGGGCCGGTGGGCCCCCTGAATGTGCAGCCTGGGGCCTCATGGAAGGTGCTGCTCTACCCCAGAGACACAGCGTGAAGGCCCAGCATCGGTAGCTGAAAAGGGACCATGGCAGAAAACCAGCTTCACGTCCCTCCGGGCTCTTCACAACGGTCTGACCCACAGCAGGCGTGTGGTGGGTCTGCGGTCACCCCCATTCTACTGACAGGGAAACTGAGGCTCAGAAGGGTGAGGTGACCTGTCCCAGGGCTCGTGGGGCACCTGATCTAAGCGCCAAGGAATCACGGCCGTCCCTGTCCCGGGCAGGCCTCACGACCTGAGCCCCCAGAGACCGTCTCACCTGGCCCCCCGTGGCCCCCGACCTGTCAGCCAGTCAGTTCCGAGTCCGGCGTCCTTCCCTCCCATCCCGGCTGCCACTCGCTGGGCCAAGCGGAGTGGCAGGAGGGCCCTGGGTCCCCGGCACGGCTCACACCGGCCTCCCGTCCACAGTCCTCGTCCCGCCGGGCCGGCCTCTGCTGCACCAACTGCCACACCACGCACACCACGCTGTGGCGGCGCAACGCGGACGGCGAGCCGGTGTGCAACGCCTGCGGGCTCTACACGAAGCTGCACGGGGTGAGCGGGCCGGCGTGCAGGGGCTGAGGGGCCGGGGGCGGTCGACCAGGCTGGCTGCGTGCCCGCAGCCCACCTGCGTGTCACTGTCAGGCCCACTGTGCAGGTGGGCTCGCTGAGGCCCTGGTGTCACTGGCTCGTCCACAGCCGTTCAGCCTCGGGCAGAGGCTGGACCCCTCAGTCTTGCCTCCCTGCACCCCCAGAGCCCTCCTGGCCCCTCTGGCCCTGGGAGACTGGGGTGGGACGGGCTCCCCCTTACCCTGCCCGGGACAAGCGTCAAGCCCAGGGCGGCAGCTGCCCAAACAGGGCTGCGGGAGTGACCGGCTCTGCAGGGCCAAGATCAGGGCAGGCAGCCACGCAAGAGGCCCCAGGGTGAGCAGAGAGAGATCCCAGACACCCACCACCTGCCCACCCTGCCAGGTGCCGCGGCCCCTGGCCATGAAGAAGGAGAGCATCCAGACACGGAAACGGAAGCCGAAGAACGTGGCCAAGACCAGGGGCTCCTCAGGTGCACGCGCTGGGGCGGCCGAGACGCGGGAGGGAGCCCAGCCCCCCGCCTCTCCCGTGGGGCACACATCCTCCCTGTGGAATCCCTGAGTGTCTCACATTCCACCATTAGACATTCACGTGTTTGGTGCGAGTGTCACCCCCAGAAGGACACGTGACCCCCCTGCCCTGGGACGGCTCCAGCTGGCGGGAGCCAGCAGTGGGGCGGGAGGTCTGGTGAAGGAAGCCACACCCAGCCCCTCCCTCACTGTGTGACCAGTGCAGCCGGACCTGGTGGCTTCTGTAAACACCCCACCTTCCCTCCCAGGGTCCACGGGGGTCACTGCAGCCTCCCCACCAACCTCTATCCCTGACCCGGAGGTCTCAGTGGCCACTCTGAAACCCAAGCCCAGCCTGAGATCCCCTTCACACCCCGGTCCCAGTGTCACCTCCCAGGTAAGGTGGATGTGGTAGGGGAGGGTGGGGTGCCTGGAGCTGGCTCCCAGACACCTCCTCGGGGAACCCTGACTCCCTGGCCAGGTCAGAGCCCCTGTAGGACCCTCTCGGGAGCTCGGGGCTGGACCCACAGCTGGTCGCTAGAACCAGAGCTGACCAGTGGCCAGCACCAGCGGAGAGCCCTGCATGTGTTCCACGTCGACCCTCAGGAGGGGTCTCCGCCCCATTCCAGGGATGAAGGAGGCCCGTTAGAGCAAATCACCCCGTCCTGAGGGCTCCCGAACCCCCGTGCGGCTGGCCCGCTGTTCCTGATCTGATGCTCACGTGTGCCCTGTCCTCCCTGCAGGTGTCCGGGCCGGTGGACGACCCCCTGGCCCCCAGCCACTTGGAGTTCAAATTCGAGCAAGAGGACTTTGCCTTGCCTTCTGCAGCCCTGGGCCCCCAGCCTGGCCTCGGCGGGGCCCTGCGCCAGGAGGCCTGGTGTGCTCTGGCCTTAGCCTAGGTCTCCGGCACCCACCGAACCCACCGCGCTGCCGCTTCACCTCCAGCGCAGCAGAGAGACCTCCAGGTCCACTGCCAGAAGAGACTGGAGCCAGCCGGGCCCAGAGGCGCTGGGCGCCCCTCAACATGGCGGCCCGAGGCCTTTTGTGCAGACGGCAGTCTGGCCCCAGAGCAGAAGGAAGGCTGGTAGGGGAAGGGCTTGAGCCCCCCCTGGACAGCAAAGGATCCCCAGATGTTGCGAGAGGCTCTAGACCACACCGGCCACTCCAGCCAAGGCTGACCGGGGCGCCACCACCTGCGTGAATTCCATTGTCAACACTCGCCATCATCACGTTTACAGGCTGCAGCAGTTAGACACCCCAACTTCCTGTTGTAAAACCAGGGCCACAAGTAAGAGGACTGAGGCCAAGCAGGCAGCACTGATGAGGGGAGCAGCCAGACGTGGACTCCTCGGAGCACAGGACTGCCAGGGACAGACGTGCAGGCCGTGCACTGTACCGGGACGCCACCCCAGGGGGGAGCGTTCACATAGTCATCATTGTAGACTTGTATTTATTTGGACAGTTATCCCAGAGGGGGCAGTAAAGGGCCTTGTTCCGACTGAGTCTGTGTCTTGAGACCATTTCTGAAGAGTAAAGTACCTGGGCCTCTGTTCTAACGCACACAGGCACTCTCGGGGCTGTGGTGGAGTGACCACATGGCCTGGCTTGTCTGCGACTGTCCCCGGAGAATCATTACTAGCACCCCCTTTCACGACAAAAGCCGTCCCCTCACAGGGTTGGATGATAAATTTGTTGGCATCCTGGCTGGAGGCGGCTCTACCCCAGGGAGCTGGTAAATGGCTGCTAACAGCTTGATGGCAGAGAGGCAGTAGGGAGTGGCGAGGAGTGGGGCGTGCCCTGCAGAAGGGCACGCATCACTTATGCCCAGTTGCTGCCCTTCACCAAAAAGACCTGATTTTTCCTTGGAAGCCAGAAACCTGGAATCTTTCTTGTTTTGTGTGAAGCCTTCTAATTGAAAGCTTTCTCCCCCTAACTCCCAATTTGATTCAAAATTTTGTACAGGGAACTGTCCACCTCTCACCACCTGGGCGTCCATAAGAAGTGGACACGAGCCTCGGTGCCCTGGTCCCTGGCTGATGGGGCACCCCCACCCTCCCTCCCATACAGAGGCTGCAGCACAGACCGCCCAGATCTGGATGAGCTGAGGGGCAAGTTAAATGCAGGCACTCAGGGCCTGGGGCCAGTTTCGTGGTGGCCGGAGCTGGGGAAACCGCATGGTCACCTGCCCTCAGGGCCCTGCAGCAGCCACGCCAGGAACCACGTGGCCAGGGCCAGGCAGCAGAGGAAACGCCTTGGGGACAGGGTCTGTCTGCGATCACAACCTGGTCTTTCAAAAGCGGGCTGGATGGGAGAGATGGGGATAGAGGGGCCTGTGACGGCTGTGCCTGTGGGTGGATGTGCCTGGTGGCTCAGACTTGAGGCCGCTGTTGTGGAAAAGAGCCCGCCGCTGTCTCGTCTCCACACCTTCCCAGGGGACTTGCAGGTGAGGAAACTGAGGCACAGAGAGGATATGTTGTCACCCAGCTGGGGGGACAGAGCCCCTTCCCACCCGTTGTCCTCAGGGCTCGTGACAGGGTGTCGGGGCCCCGAGCTGAGCAGGAGACCGAGTCACTGGCTGGAGAGGAACAAGTTGGGGTGACATCCGCGGGTCCCCCACCCAGAGCTGCTGCCCCGCCAGGCACCCCCGGACCTCTCAAAGGCAAGGCTAGCCCAGCCCTTCTCGGGAGGGGGAGGGGAGGAGAAGCAAAGCGAGGTGGCGGGGAGAGCCTGGTGGGGGGTGCCTGGTGAGAACCATGTCGGGGTTGGGAGCGCCCCTCCTCTGGGCAGGCGCAGAGCCTCGTGGTCCAGCATCCCTGCTGTTCCCTCCAAGGGGCAGGTGCTGTTCCCCCTCTTCCCTGATGAGAAAAACAGGCACCTGAGACGTGGCATGTGGCTCCGCAGGGACCTGGAGGCATCCACGACGCGCGGGCAGAACAGGCAGGGTGGATGGGAGGAGGGGCTAGGCGCCTGGCCCTTGCAGAGAGGTCCCCAGGGGGGTACTTGACAAAGAGGGAAGGAAGATGTCATCTCTTCCTCCATTTTTGTCATTTTTTAGGACGTGCCCTGGGCGAGAGGGGGTGAGCCCCTCCTCTGGACATGAGGAGCTTTGGGCAAAGCTGCTAAATTTAAGCATTTCTCCCCAATGGCTCTTCGGGGCCCGGAAGCTGTCAGGACCTGGAGCCTTAATATAGCTGCCTGGCACCCCCTTCCTGCAGCTCTTCCTCCCGCCAGCCCTCCCCGCGGCTCTGTCCCGCAGGCCAGCCGTAAACAACCGGATGAGCGGGGAGGCTGGGGGGTGTGGGCAGCCCCAGGCCGCTTATCAGACGACAGGATGGAAAGAAAGGCCAGTTCATCTGCACTGCCTGGCTGCCCACACCTCATTTTCCTCATCTTTTGAGCTAAAGCAGATGTCCAGGGAGCCCAGGGAAGGGGTGCCATAGCCCCTCCATCCTGCAACGGTCCCCTCCATCTGTGGGAAGTGTCCATCGAGCCCCCACTGGGCTCTGTCCTGGGCGCATGGGGAAGGGGGAAGACCAGCCGGTGAAGTCGGAAAACTGAGCACATGGCATAGAAGTGGGGAGACACCCAGGGTCCCCTCGGCTGGGGTTTCTTGATCCAAAACTGTTGGCCGAGCACCCTCTCCTCCCACTTAAAGCCCTTCACCTGTCGCTTCCCTCCAGATCCCAGCAGGGAGGCCGAAAGCATCCCATGAGCCGCTGGCACCCACTCAACCACTCAGGGCGGCCCGGCCGCCGCCCCGTCCAGCTGTGCCCGGACCCGAGAGCTTCCCAGTGGGGCTGGGGCTAGGGTTACTTTTCCCTTGGCTCCCGAAAAAAAATGGCTCTTTGAAAAATGGATGTCAGTTCTCGAAGGCGCTTGTCTGAAAAATGTAACGTGCTTATTAAAAAGGGAAAATTGTTCTGTGGGGGAGCAACGCAGGCCACCAGCTTGCTGATGCTGTGTTCTCTGGGGGCAGTAATTAGGTTTACGTATTTGTTTGTTTGATGGAGGTGCTGGGGATTGACCCCAGGACCTGGTGCCTGCTAAGCACGCGCTCTGCCACCAAGCTGTACCCTCCCCGCCCCACAGCTTCGTATTTGACCGAATAGGGGCATTTCTTAGAGAGGACCAGGTGCTGCTGTCACTGTCATCACAGACAGGCCGCTCTGCCGCCAAGCACGCGGGACAGCAGCCTCAGGGAAGGGGTGACGCGCTGGCAGCCCCCGCCTCTCCTCCGTCACAAAACAGTGGGCAGCTCACGGCAGTTCAGGGGTGGTCATCCTCCAGGGTGTGTGGACGGGCACTCAGGAAGAGGATGACCAGGCTCCCGGGTCCCAGCCCCCGCAAGGACCCCCCATTCAGCAGACGAGAAAGGATGTCGGAGGGCCCAGCACCCACCGAGGCTGTGAGGCTGTAGGCCCCAAGGTGCCCCGTCCTCCCCACACACGTCTCCTCAGGGGCTGAACCAGCTCCAAGGAGGGGGCCGGTGAGGGCGAGCCCCGCAGCCCCACTGGAGCTGGGGTGGGGGTGGCCGGCCCTCGAGGGCCACGTGGAAGCCATGGTGGGCAGCCCCCCCCACACACAATGCCCTGTGAAGCCCGCCAAGATGTTGACACGGACGGCTCCAGCCGCCTTATTTATTATCTGATAAAGGGTTCTCGGCACCGCTGGTGGACGGCGTCTGGCCGCGCTAGGGCCTGGGGGAGGGAGGAGGCTGGGGGTGACGGGAGGCCTCAGCAGGCCTCCACACTGGACTCTGGGGCAGGACGCACTGAGGAATCTGGACTTTTCCTTCTCCGGCCAATAGCCTTCCTTCTCCGCTGCCAAGGAGCCAGCGGGCCAAGGAGAAGTTCAGCTCCTGCACGGAATGGCCCGGGGACCTCCCCAACGGGTGTTCCACCCCCTGAGACCTACCCCTTACCCCTCCAGACCCTTCTCCGGAAAAGCCCCAGTTGGGCCCTCCTCCCCGTCCACGCCCTCCCACCCAGTTATTGCTACAGCCCATCCCCCACCCCTCTGCTTGGCCCGGAGCTCAGACTTTCCATGATGCGTATCTGGGCCTGCTTCTCCTTCGCTTCCAAACACTCGGGCCCATGCACTGCCCCAGCAACGGCACAGATGGCCCAGCCATGACTGCCTCCTGGCCTCTGGGGCCCCTTCTCCTGGCACCTGCGTGCACTCTTGGGTACAGGGGCCCTTACCAGCATCCAAACACATCACACCTCTGGGGCTCTGCACCTGCCGTTCCCTCTGACCGCGCACATGTGGTGCCTTTCTCCTGTTCACCTAACCGGTGACGTGGCACTCAGGGGCCAAGACCCTCTGATACCACCCCCTCCACAGTCTTTCTTGGGCAGCACCAGGAGGTCAGAATCCACAGGCCTCCTCCAGGCAGAGCCACCACGGAGACAGCCTAGACGACCAACAAGAGGGATCCGTTAAATGACCGAGGGGATGTGTGTGGGGAACCTTTAAAGGTCAGAGCTCTTAAAAGTATCTGACAATTACAACTTACTCTAAACTTTTTCCCCCAAATCTTCTTCAAGTCAGCTTTCATAACCACAAAGGAGGCAACACAGACGCCATGCATGGGATCTCCATGGCCAGCCCCGCCCACCAACGTCTCTGCCTCCTCGTGCAGGGGTGTCTTGAGGGAGGCTGTGTGGGAGGGGGAGTTGGGGTGGGTTCCAGGACAGGTGGGGACCACCTGGGGCCCCCTGGGGGCCTGGTCGTCCTGGAGAACAGGCCACAACACACCTGCATCTCTCCACCGACAAGGCCTCGAGCAGAGGGAGGTGCTGGTCACTGCGCCGGCCTGCCTGTGCCTCCTCTTTGGCAGTGATGGCTCTTCCCCTGTCTGGTCCCTTCCCACCCGTCCATCCTCGGCTTAACGGTCCCGGGGGCCCTGCTGGTCCACACCACTTCAAGCAGTGCCACCCCCTACTGGACGGTGTTTCTCCCCTGCACTTCCTGGGGGCCGTCCCGGTACTTGTCCATCCTGTAACCACAGATCTGAATGCTCCCAAGCTCTCTCAGTCTCACTCACTAGAAAACAGCTTCCCTGAGGACAGGGGCCTCATCCAGCCCCGCCTTGGCCCCCCTCCGCCTCGCCCAGCGATGAAGCCAGTGCCAGGCCGACACTAAGTGAAGGTGGAATAAATGTGTGAATGAACCGTGTGCCTGACCCCTGCTGACCAGGTTGGGGGGGGACTGGACCACGCCCCCCCTCCGGACACGTCCACCCACCCGGGTAGTGGTGGGCTCCGAGTACCTTCCATCACCCTTCCAAGGCTCTTAGTCCTGCCAAGGGTGCCAGGGACGGGGACAAAGTGGGTGAGGGGGTCCCCAGGGGGCCCGGATGAGTTGGGGTCCCCAGAAGCACGTCCCCAGAGAAGGATTTGGTGGGGGGATTCACGGAGGCCGTGCTCCCAGACGCCTGGGCAGAGCAGGGAGAGGAGGAACCAGCTGGTGCCCCTTCAGTTCATGTCTCAGCCCAGG